AAAATAAAAACTTATTTTAAAAATAAAATAAAATAAAATAAAATTTTATTTTTTTAAAAAAAAAATGTTACTTAAAAAATAAAATAAAATAAAAACTTATTTTAAAATAAACATTTTTAAAATTAAAAAAAAAAACTTCTATTTTTTTCTTTTTTAAAATTTATTTTATATATATAATACAAAGTTGTCGTTTTACTCCTTTTAAAATGAGTGAAAATAGTGAAAAGAAATTGGATGGTCATGATGAAATGTTATATGAAATTAGGTGATCATGGTGAAATGTTGTATGAAATTGGGTGGTTTTGGTAAAATAAAATCAAATTGGGTGACTATAAATATAAAGTTGGATGGTCACAGTGACACTACATATAAAGTTGGGTGGTTATCGGTGAATTTAACAATTTTCAATTCCTAAGTATTTTCTCACCATTTTCCTTCTCTTTCTTTATCACCATCACTCTACCCACCAACACCACCTATTCTTTCCAGCGCAGTTGTGCATTCCAACCTAATTTCATTTTCAATCCCTAAATATTTTATCAACATCTTCCTTCTCTGTCTTTATCACCCTCTCTCTACCCATCAACCTCCATCCCTTCCCCACCTTAGCGACGCGGCAAGGTGCTGCTCCTACAATGGTGAGCGATGCTCGACCATGTGAAAGATTTGCAAAGGCCAAGCAGTACTTGATGTTGAACAAAGTAGAAACGTTGACTTAAGTACATTTCATCCAAATATGTGAGACGCAAGCAGCATATGTTTTGACAGAGACGGGTTATAGAGGGACAAGGGGTTCTAAAATAGGGGATGTGAATTGGTGGTTGTCGTAGACTCATTCTTTACCTTTCTCTTCCTACGAAACAAAGCATGTGGGATATACACATTTGAGGTGCTTTCGGTCTAACTCAGTAACCTTAACCTTTAGGTCTCGTTCCACTACTCTTCGAGCATGTGGTGAGTGATTTTTTTATTAGATATGTTGTGTGGCCAAATTTTTAGGATGGTTGTTGGTGTTTTTGAAAATGGTGCTAATGATTTCCGATATGTGGGTGGTTCTGTTGTTGTTGATGGTGGTTCTGTCGATGGTGATGTAGACGACGATGATTATGTTACTGGCGGTACATATGGTCGTGGAGAAGTGGTGAGCATTTGGTTATTTGACGGTGTTGGGAGTGTTGGTGGTGACAACAATCGGGTGTGACCAAGTCTATCCTCAATGATTGTTTGTGAACAAATCTATGTTAACTGTGACCGTATGTGACTTTGTTGCATAAAGTCACAAATTAGATTGACTTGGTCAAAGATAGTCACATTGAAAATTAATTTGGTCACATTTAGTCATAGATTTGGTCACGGTGGTTATACTCTACCGCGTGTTGCTGCGAACAACGTGATCTACATGTGGTAATAGTGGTACGATAATGCCAATGGTGGTTGGGATTTGTTGAAGATGTTAGTGGAAGTGATGGCGGTGGTGGTTGTAATTGTTGTTGTTGATTTGAGGAGAATGTAGTACTTATGGTTGTGGTTTTGAGTTGAAGATGGTAACGGTGGTGCATTAGAGGTGAAAGTGGTGGATTGTGGTGTTAATCTACGATGTGTGCAGATTTGTTTGTGGTAATCCTCTATGATCAAGTATGTTGTGACCAATTATATGTTAATTGTGACTTTATTACATACCTGGTCATAAATAAACAATTTTGATCCCATTTAGTCACTGGAAAAAAAAAAAAATATTGGTCATAGTTAGTCACAAATAACACAGGTAGTGGGGTGCGGATGGTCACAAAAATATATAGTAATATTTTTGACAAGTTTGTTAGTTTTGAAAATGTCGCAATTATAGTGTAATAGTAGTTATGTATTGTTCCCTTTTAAAAATTAGGCCTAGAATTAAGGGAAAAGTTTATGCATCAGG